TTTGAGTTCAGCCTGGGCTACATAGTGAGACCTAAAAAAAAAAAAAACAAAAACAAAAAAACCAGAGTCTGTTATTGTTGACTGTAGTCCTAGCACTTGAGATGGAGACAGAAGAATCAAGAGTTCAAAGTCACCTTTAGCTGCATACCGAGTTTTAGTTCAGCCTGAGCTACACAAGACCGGCTTAGTGCAAACAAGTGAAGACTGGTGTCAAGAGCACAGCTCAGTTGGTAAAATACTTTCCTAACACACACACAGTCTCCGGTTCCACCCGAAGCTCAGTGGGTGTGGTGGGGGGGGCACCTGTCATCCCACCATGGGGATGGGAATGAGTTCTCAGTTTAACAAGCAGCCCTGACCTATTTTAGTTTCTCCCTTCTAGAAGCTGTTCCCTTGAGTGGTGTTTGGATCAAGCTCTTCTGGGAAGTTCTGGTCCGGCCCAGTGTTCTGCATCTCTAAGCTCTCTGAGCTTTCTTGCAAAAGAACTCTCTGGAAAACCCGACCTAGAAAACACCAGTGCCTCATGTTCAAGAGCCTTCCAAATGAGTGGAGCCATTTCTTACAGATTTCTCAGACGCCCCAATTCCACATTTGCACGTCATTGGACTACATGCCAGGAGCCAGCAGAAGACCTGAGTCAGACTGGCAAGGGGAAATGCATGGGGGCAACAGGGCCAGTGTGATGGTGGAGTTAGTGCCCGCAGACTGGTCTCACCTCAGATGCCCTCACCTGTCACCTTTTGTTTCATGTGTATGTATGTGTATTGAGTATGTGTGTTTGAATGGGGAAGAGATGACACGGTACATAATGCAGGGCTTTGTGCACGTATGTGTCTGTGCACATGGAGTCAGCCTGTTCTGTGGACCCAGTCTCTGCCTCCCGAATACTTCACCATCTTTTTTATTTTATTGTTTGGTGGAGGTGATCAAGACAGGATCTCACCCTATAGCTCTGGCTGTCCTGGAACTCACTATGTAAATGAGGCTGACCTCAAATTTATAGAGATCTGCTTGCTTCTGTCTCCTGCATGCTGGGATTAAAGGCATGTACCACCATCTTTAGCCTAGAAAGAGGCTTGGTATGTAGCCCAGGCTGGCCTACACTAAGGCTTTTTGGGTTAGTCTTGTTTGCTGAAATAACAAGTATGTGTTGCCTGGAAGCTCACCAGCTTCCCAAGAGAAGGGTGAAGAGAGGAGATCTCTCAGCCTAATCCATTATTCTGGGTATGAGAATCTAAGTCCTATGGGATTTGCAGGCTCACTGCAAATTGTACTTCACCCCTCTATTTTCTGTTCCCCAAATTTTGAAGGAGTCATCCAAGACAGATGCAGCAAACACCAGGGGGTGAGGGCTGGGAGGGAGGAGTGGGCTTGAAAGGCAAGCATGCAGATATTCTCATTAAATTGGTCTGGGTTTATTTGCTTGTTTGGTTTTGGAATGTGGCAATGGAATCCAGCGTCTCCTGCATGTTAACTAATCAAGAGCTCTACCAATAAGCCATCCCCTAGCCCCACACTGAGGGATTCCAGGCAGGGCCTCCACCCACATTGCTATTCCTTTAAAAATGCTTATTTTGGGCCGGGGTTATATCTCAGCAGGAAAAGATGCCCACTGCCAATTCTGACAACCTGAGTTCAATCCCAACTCACATGGTAAGAGAGGAACAGCTCTCTCAAGTTGACAACCGTCCTCTCACCTCCACATATGTGCTGGGTTCACACAAAATAAATAAATGAAAATGACCAGGTGGTAGAGGCGCACACCTTTAATCCCAGCACTCGGGAGGCAGAGGCAGGCGGATCTCTGAGTTTGATATCAGCCTGGTCTACAAGTGAGTGCCAGGACAGCCTCCAAAGCTACAGAGAAACCCTGTCTCAAAAAAATCAAAATAAATAATAAACAAAAATTAATTTTGTTGGTCAGTGGTGGCGCACACCTTTAATCTCAGCACTCAAGAAGCAGAGGCAGGTGGATCTCTGAATTTGAGGTCAGCCTGGTAAACAGAGTTCCAGGATATCCAGGGCTATACAGAGAAACCCTATCTCAAAAAATAAAACACACACACACATACACACTCACACACACACTTTTCCCCCCTGGGGACCAGAAAGATGGCTTATTGTGTAGCAGGTAACAACACTTGTTACCAGGCCTGAGTTCAATCCCTGGGACCCACATGGTCAAAGGCAAGATCTGAGACCTGCATTGTCTTCTGACCTCCACACATGTGCAATGGTAGCACTCCACACACAATAAATAAAGAAAACATAATAATGAAAAATTTAACATAATTTCACTTTGAGACAGGATCTGGCTAAGTTGTCCAAGCTGGCCTTGAACTCAGAATCCTTCTGCCTCTGCCTCAAACTGAGAGACCCACCTGCCTCTGCCTCCCAAGTACTGGCATTAAAATCATGCACCACTAAGCCCCAGTAGAAATGAACATTTTTTTGTTTTTGTTTTTAGTTTTTTTTTTTCTTTTTTTTTTTTTTCTTTTGGAGACTATCTTGGAACTCCCTCTGTAGACCAGGCTGGCCTCAAACTCACAGATATCTACCTGCCTCTGTCTCCAAAGTGCTGGGATTAAAAGTGTGCACCACCAAGGTGGAAATGAACTTTTAAAAGACCCTAGAAATCTGATGTGCAGCTAGGGTTGAGAAACTAATGAAGTTCTAAAGCATAAAAAACCAAAACCTTCTGGAACATTCTGACTCCTACACTTGCGGCACAGATGGTTTACTGTGAAGCCCCTGAAGAAATATTCAGACAAGAATGGGCATGGATCACAGCTAGGTTTCAAGCACAGGGGAGGCAGAAGAAAGATAATCATTGAGTCTAGCCTGGGCTATACAGTGAACACTGTTTTGTTTGTTTTTTTTTTGAGACAAGTTTTCTCTGTTTAGCTCTGGCTATCTTGGAACTTACTCTTGCAGACCAGGTTGTCCTTGAACTCACAGAGATCCTCCAGTCTCTGCTTCCAGAGTGCTGGGCTTAAAGGTGTGCACCACCACCACCCAGCCCTTTTGTTTTATTAAATAGGGGTTAGCAAGATGGTGGGTGCAGTGGTAACAGCACTTGCTACCCAGTGAAGAGCTGAGTTTGATCACCAGAACCCATGTAAAAATGTAAAGCAAGGGCTGACTCCACAAAGTGGTCCTCTGTCCTCTACATGCTCTCTGAGGCATGTATGTACACATACACTGATGATGATGACTTAAATTTTGTAAAACACAAATAAAATGAAGAGGGGCAGTGAGTGGTTCTTTGGGTAAAGATACTTGTTGCAATGCAAACCCCACAATCCACACAGTAAGAGGACAGCTCTGTCAAGTTTTCCTCTGCCCTCCACATCACATCCTGGCACACCCCCCACACACACAATAAATAAATGAAAAGTTAAAAATTATAATAGTGAACTCCTCTTTCCATTTTCAGCACATTTCTTACTCAGGCCATCCTAGAATCTTGGGGTGTGCTGGGTTCCACAGAATTCTTCCCTAGATGGGAAACCCAGTTTCTCCAAACAAAAGCACAAATGAGAACTTTGCTTTGCAAAGCCAAGGCTCTTCAGAGAAGCTTTAAGAGAGACAGATTCATGCTGTGCATGGAGAAGAAAAACACAACATGGATGCCTGACAAGTCACGCCAATCCCTTTGCATAAGAGCATGTATTTATGCTTGTAAGGACACGTGTACAAGTTCGAGTAAGCTCTGGAAACCGGTCTATGTGAAGCTAACAGGTACACTTTTTTAAAAGCTTGACTTTTCCCCCCTTCCACTTTGTGAGCTATCGTGAACTCCCCCCATTTTTAAGTAAATATAGCAGGCTATTTTTGTCACCTCAAAACGAATTAATTTACATAATCACCCATGAAGGGTCCTACACTTTCTTGGAAGGAAAGTCTCCTCTCCCTCAAACTTGCAGGTTCAGTAGAATAACTAAAACTACACAACACAATTGCTTATGCTGAATTTGTATAAAAATAGAACACTCCAGGGAGGCATTGTTTATTTATTTTTGAGATAGTCTGTAATCAAACTGGTCAGGAACTCACCATGTATACCTGACTGTCCTAGAATTAACTTTGCTATCCCCCTGCCTCTATGTCCCGAGTTCTGGGGTTATCGATGTAAGCTACATTTGTCCTCATTAAAACAGAATGGTTGGAAGAGGGGCGGGGGAGCAGAGAGATGGCTCAGCTGCTAAATGAGCCTGTCCACAACACAACCTTGACTACCAGAGTTCCATTGGCGGATCCAGATGTTGAACGCATAAAAACGACCCCTACAAATTCTCCTTGGACTTCCACACATGCCCACAACACACAAATAAGTAAGAGTAATCAGTTTTGTTTTGTTTTTTTAATCAAAGAAGTCGGGTCTATCCTCCCGTGGTTCTTGAGAGCAGGCTGACCCAAAGTTGCCCTGTCTTGGAACCTGTTCAGCTCCAGAAATGGGAAGAATTCCAGGCCAGAGCTGGCCCAGCAGACAAACAGGAAGGGAGGGGAGACGAAGATGCCAAAAGATGTAGTGCAGAGAGGGCACCGGTGTCACTTTCCCCGAATCTGATCACAGCCCCCAGCACAGCCAGTCCTTATATAGTCACTGGGCAGTTAGTCACTCCAAGGACGTGAAGGGAGGTCATGGCAGCTGACATCCAGAATATCTGACCTCGCCCAGGCAGGGCCGACCCTTGCATGCAACCTTCGCCGAAGTTCAAGTTCACTAAACCTTGTTCTAAGGTGACTCCTGGTCTTTTCCCCACCCCCACCCCACCGCACCTGTCCTCCCTACCGTAAGCAAGCGCTCTCCTCAATTTCCCTCCCATCCATCTGCACCCCTTACCACAGCTCCTCCGTCCCCGGTGTTCCCTCCTCCCCCTGCGCGCGCGTGGGAGCACTCTGCCTCCTCCCCTATCCAGACCCAGGATCAGTCCTGCCTCCTCCTCGCCTCCATCTTCAAGGCACGGGCAACATCTGTCCTGGGAGCACCTACTCACCCGGCTCATACTTCATGTAAATGATGGAGACGATGAAGTAGCTGAGGTCGAAGACTGGGAAGAGCGGCACCCGCGAGAAGCTGAGCGCTAGCTCTCCTAGGCTCAGCGCAGATAGCAGGTCCATGGCGTTGGCGGGTGCCTCCCTAGACCCTGGCCCCGTGCGTCCCACCGCCCGCCACCGGGCGACTGAGCCCCCGCCACTGAGCCCGCCCCGCTACCAGGCACCGCCTTCAGCCCGGCCCCGAGAGAGGAGGGGCGATGAGGCTGCCCAACCCCACCCAGCGCAAGGCGCCTGGCACCAGGGACGTCAGAACTCGGTTTAGCGCAGCCACGTAAGGGATCAGTCCCCTATATCCAGTCCACTTAAACGGGACTCTGGTCTGTGTACAACTTAGTTAGGACCCTATCTCTTCTTCGTGGGACTAACCTAATCAGGACTCCTGTTCCCCAGGATCCCAGTCAATCAGGATCCCCGCCCTCGGTAGACCTCAGCCAAGAATTTCATGTTTTTGTTTTGTTTATCGAGACAGGATTTCACTGTGTAGTCCTGGCTGTCCTGGAACTAGCACTATAGACTAGGCTGGCCTCGAATCATCACAGAGAACCACCTGCCTCTGCCTCCCGAGTGCTAGGATTAAAGGCGTGAGCCACCACCGCCCGGCTTCATGTTTAATTTTGGAGAAGCCCGCCTTCAGGAGGATATGCAAGTTAGAACCCCGCCTCCTGTAGGTGACTTCAACCCAAACCCTCCTCTTCTGTCAACTCCAGCCCAGATGTCCACAGGTGTCCCATTATGTCCCATAGGTCCTTCGGGAGGCCCCACAAGTCAGGACCTCAGCTCAGGCCTCATGTTCTGTAAGATCTGTCCGATCAGGACCGTCATTCTTCTTGGGACAACAGAGTCAGAACTGGGAGGACCGTGCCGTACAATCCAGGCAGGGGATACCATGACCCACACTGCATGCCCTCTGAGCTGGGGTCGCAGTGCTCCGCGGAGCCCAATAGGGGCTCTTTTAGAGCATAGTCATCTGTAGCGCCAATATCCAAGGAGCCCACTGCACCCGTATTCCGTCCTCGGGGCGGCTCAGGGGTCAAGGGCACAATTTCCGAGACGCGGAACCCGTCGCCCAGCCAACAGAATCCACAGTAGGGATGTGCCTCAGCACGCATCACTGCGCAGGCGTGCGCACCCCAAACTCCGCCCCGAGGGTGACATCACGCCACACCCTCCTTCCGAACCCGACCAATGTTGATTTAGTATTGGTTCCTTCTTTTCTCTCCCCGCCCCTCTTCGCAGCTTCCGCTTCCGGCTCTGGCTCGCACACCGGCTGTGAGGATGATCGGAGACATCCTGCTGTTTGGGTAATAAGAGTAAGGGATGTCAGAGGCTGGAGAGAGACAGCCAGACGGGGCGGGAATGGCCTTGGTGACCTAACTATCCCTCCACAGGACTCTGCTGATGAATGCCGGGGCTGTGCTCAACTTTAAACTGTGAGTAGGCCGCGCTGAGCGGTGTCCTCCACGTCCAGGCCCCGCCCACACCCTACGTCAGAGCTAGCCCTGCCCGGAGCGTGGTCCACGCCCCTCTAGTCTTCCCTCTAGCTATGCTCCGGTGCTGCTTACCAAGGCGTTTGACAGTTCTGTACCACTCCTGGGACTTAAAAGCTGTACTCTCTCGGCCCGGAGATGGCTCAGCGGGTCAAGGCGCTTGCCACCAAGCCTAAGTTCCGTTCCCGGAGCTCGCATGGTAGAAGATGAGAGCCGACTCCTGTGGGTTGGTTATTCTTTGACCTCCACGCAAGTGCTATAGGATGGCACACTCATTCCTCTTACTCACAAATTAATATTTTTAAAAAAATATGCACCCTCTGTTCCTGGGTGTCCTGCTTGCATCTCCAAAGAGCCTCGGGCTCATCCCTCAAGAATTTTGTTTTGTTTTGGCGTTTGGAGCCGCTCTGATTACCCTGTCTGTGGCTGCACACCCAGCTGTGATGGCCTGTAGTGCCCCTGAGAGGGTTGTATTACTGCCCCAGGTCACACAAGAAGGTGGAGGCAGGTCATGGCCTCCGAGCTGGGTGTCAGGGTCAGGAGACCCAGTGGTGTTTATGTTCCACAGAGAGTGGGTGTCATCTGCTGTTGTTTATAGGAAAAAGAAGGACACACAAGGCTTCGGGGAGGAATCGAGGGAACCCAGCACAGGTAAGCTTGTCTTCCTGCCTTCTACACTTGCATAATATGATTCCCAGCCACCTGTTCTCTATCACCAACCTGTGCTTTTCTGTCTTCCTTTTATTGTTGAGACATGGTCTTGTGGAGCCTGAGCAGGAGTGCCATGCCCTGCTCATCACTTTAATGTGTGCCCACCATGTTGCCAGCCACTGACCTGGCAGCTCTGGCAGGGTGTGCGTAGAAGAAAGAGGTCCTACCGTGTTCAACTCACCACTGGGTGATTCAGAGGCTATTATGGGGTGTTAGGAGGGCAGTGCTGCTGGAAGCATGGGTTAATGGGGCATGGTAGGGGCCCTTTTGGTGACTGGTGCCATCATGATAGGACATTGCCTGAGGTTGGTAGGAGCAAGAGGCAAGAGTCAGGATTGGAAACTTGGTTTTCCTTTTCTGTTTTCTTTCTTTGGAGGCAGGATTTCATGGTTCCTGGGCTGGTTTCAGTTTTACTTGTAGCCTAAAGTAGTCTCAAGCTCCTGGTTCTCCTGCCTCTACTCCTGAGTGCTGAGGTTGCAGGCCCCTGTCACTGCCTCTGGTTTATCAGGTGCTGGAAATGGAACCCAGGGTTCCATGCATTCTGGGCAAGGACCCATCCACCTGCCCTTTCACCCATCTTTCTACCCTCCCACCCATCCCTCTACCCACACACCCATCTCTGCTCCCTCCCATTCATCCATCCATCTACTGATCCATTCACCTCCTACCTATCACTAAAGCTGCATCTCCCTTTTCCTCCATGGATGCTCTGTATCAGGCCCTGGGGCTGTGCTTTGCTGATATGAATTCAAGCTGTGGTGGCTGGGAGTTTGGAATCAGGAGTCAGAAATAGCAGAATGTGGGTGACAACAGTGGAACAAAGGGCGCCTGGTCCCCGTCTGGAGCCTCTTGTCTTCTCCCAGCATGGCGTCCTCCCAGTGGCCTCCTCCAGACACACTCTTCCTGCTCTACCCTGTCTGACACCCATGACCTAATGGCCAGATTTTAATTTTACATATATGTGAGGGAGTGCTTGTGTCATGTCATGCAGAGGACAGCTGCAGAAGTCCATTCTCTCTTTCTGTCATATGGGTCCTGGGCATCAAACTCAGGTCATCAGGCTTGGTGGCAAGTACTCTTACCCAAAAAGCCATTTTGCAGGCCCCAGTGGTTGCATGTTTGTTTTTGTGTTTCTATGTGGTGGGTTCACATAAGAGGTCAGAAGACATTGTATATGGGTCATCTTCCATGGGGGTGCTAGGGCTTGAACTCAGGTTCCAGGTTTGGTAACATGTGCCTTCACCCACTAAGCCATCTCACCCTGGTGGCTGCATTTTTACAAGCACACATGCCAGACCCTGGCCCATTGTAGCCATCCATTCACACAAGAGGATGTATGCGTCCACTGACAGTTCAGGGACTAGCCAGAGCACCCTTGCAGAAGGGCAGAGCCAAGCTTGTGCTGCAGTCAATCTTTCCAGCTTCTTTGGTCTCCTCTGTAGATGTGCATTTGTGGTCACCTCTCCTGTGGTTATTTCCCCCAACACCTGAGCCCTCCTGTCAGCCGCCCCAGGAGCTTGACAGACTTATGTCCTAGTTGCCCTGGACCATCTCTGTGTAGGAGTACATGTCTTGTTTTCTCTGTGTGTCTGAACCAAGGAATTATGTGGGCTGGTCCACTGGGTAGGAGGAGCAGTCTTTCTAAGTTTTTCCTGTTTTATTAAAGGGTCTGCACACACCTGTGCTGTGGCCCTGTGTGGAGCTCAGATGAAAACTGGAATCTCTCCTTTCTGCCTTTATGTGAGTCCCAGCTGGACCTCTGGTCACCAAGGCTGGCACATGAGCATCTTTACCTACTGAACCACCTGATAGCAGGGCACAAGGGTTTAGGCTTTGCTCATTGGTGCTTTCCAAACATCCTAGAGGTAGATGTCTCCTAGCGTCTCCTGTTTCTGTCTGTAGACAGACAGATGGTGCTGCTGGCTGCTAATCGGGTGCCATGGTAATGCCCATACTTAGTGAGAGGAGTAGGTGAAGGCCCTACAGAGGACAAAGGGTGTCAGGTGCCTGGAATAGTTCCAGCCTTGCATTGTTTGACAGGTGTTGACAGCCCTGACCTACCAGTGCTTTGTGGTGATATTTTGTTTATGATCTAACAAATAAAGCTTGCCTAGAGATCAGAGAAGTAAAGCAGCCAGCCACTAGAGAGTTCTCACCTCTACTAATGCTCAAACAAAAGAGGTCATCACTGAACCTCAGACTGCACTGAGCTCCTGTCTCTGCTGGGATTAAAGGCATGGGATTCCAAGTACTGGGATCACCTTTGTGTAAGAGTTCTGTCTCTCTTTTAGACTGGATAAATTTCCTATAGCTCAGGGCCTTGAACTAACAGAGATCTGTCTGCCATTGTTTCCTTAGTGCTGGGATTACAGGTGTGTACCACCACTGCCTGGCCTTTATGGCTATGGCTAGCTTTGCACTCTGATCTTCAGGCAAGCTTTATTTGTTAGAGCATAAACAAAACATCACCACAGTACTGCCCTGAGGTTACCCCCATAGATCGCCTAATCACCAGTTATTTTGATTCTGGAGAAACAGGGAGTGTGATTGACTAATACTTAGAAGAAGGTTCTAGAAGTCAGTCTCAAGACTCACTTTGTTGTTTTGATTTTTTTGAGGCACTATCTTATGTAGCCCAAGATATGCTCAAACTTCACAATTCTGGTGAGTGCTTGAGTTACAGACAGATGCCACCAAGCCTGTCTGGATTGAATATCATTTTTATGTCTCACAAAATAGGCTTTTGGTATTTTTTCCCCATTTGAAATGTCAGTGAGTTGGGTGTGGTGGCACAGGACTGTCAGCCCAGAATTTGGGAGAGAAGATTCAGGAGGTTCAGGAGTTCAAGGTCCTCCTCAGCTACATAGTAAGTTCAAAACTAGCCTGGGCTACAAAAACAAAGCAAGGCAAAACAAAAGAAAATCTGGACAGGTGATGGGTGTGTGTGATCTTAGCTGGTGGGAGGCTGAGCAGTCAGTGTGGAGGCAGTTCAGGCAGTTAGGAGCCAGCCTCAGGCCTGTAGTGAGTCCTTGTGGCCCAACCAATAAAGACAGTAGCCACCAATGCTGACCCCTGCAGTCTGTCCTTGGACTTGAACATGTCCTGTTGTGGTTTAAAAAAAAAAGTCAGCATTTTAGCCAGACAATGGTAGGGCGTGCCTTTAGTTCCAGCACTTGGGAGGCAGAGGCAGGTGGATCTCTGTGAGTTCAAGACCAGTCCAGTGTACAGAGTGAGTTCCAGGGCCGTTCCTACTACACTGAGAAACCTTGTCTTGAAAAACATAAACTTTTAAAAAGCATTTTAAAAAGCAACAAAACAACCAACTAACCAAACCAGAGTGGTGGCAGGCGCTGGGTTCTGGGGCTCATGCTTCTCTCTGGGCCCTGCCCCAAATTCTTGGTCTAGCAAACCTTGGTCTGATAAGTAGAGCCCATGTCCCAGGACAGACTCTTATTGGACAGACTTCACGTACCCTTTTCCAGTACTAATCGGAGGCTTTGAAGATTAGTGGTTTCCAGTAATTGTTCAGGAACTGCTACTGTTTGGGTGGCAGTGGGCAGACTGACAGCCTTCTGAACCATACTTTCTGGCTTTACAGGAGACAACATCCGGGAGTTCTTGCTGAGCCTGAGGTACTTCCGAATCTTCATCGCCCTGTGGAATGTATTCATGATGCTGTGCATGATTACGTGAGTGCCGCCCTGCCTGGCGCCTGGCGCTCACATCAGTACTCTTGACCTTGTCACAATGTGTTTGCATGTGTGTACATCAAAGGACAGTTCTCCCTATCACTCATGTGGGCCTGGGGACCCATCTCAGGTCACCAAACTTGGCAGCAGGCACTCACTGATGCATCTTGCCAGCCCCTAGTTGATTCTTAAGGGCTACCTCTGCTTCCAAAGTAAGAACTCTGGATGTGAGGATGCTGGGCCTCTTCCAGGCTGGTTGTAACCAAAGTTGGAGTGTGGTCTCGAGATCCCACTTGGCCATGTTCCTCCAACCCCTGCTATTGGTGTTAACCTATACTGGCTGGTGGCTCCCAAGTCCAGCAGGCTGTTGACACCTTTCTCAAAGGCCTTGGTAGAAGCCAACAGGAACAAGTCACAGTTGGTTTCTGTTTTATGACCACTTCCTCTGATTTGATTCAGTTTTTGGTTTTTTGAGACGTCTCAGGGTGTAACCCTGGGTGTCCTGGAACTTACTGTGTGGACCAGACTGGCCTTGAATCAGAGATCCACCTGCTTCTGCCTCCCAAGTGCTGGGATTAAAGGAGTGGGCCACCACACCTGGCTTGATTTTTATTTTGGGGGACGGAATCTTGTTTGTGTAGGCCAGGCAGGCGCCCTCAAATTTACAATACCTCTGCCTCAGACTTGCCGGTCCTGGGACGCAGGTGAGTGTGACCACTGAGATGGCTTTTATAGATAATGAGGTAGGGATGTGAGTTCATCCCCTGGCAGGCTGGCCTCAGTGTCAGCATGCTTCTGGGATTAAAGTCATATGCCTCAATGTCCAGCCAACAGTGTGTGTGTGTGAGAGAGAGTGTGTGTGTGTGTGTGTTTTGATTTTTTTGTTTGTCTTTGTAGTATTTTATGTGTGTGAAATTGGGGGTGGTGCGCGTGTTACACAGTGCATTCATGGGGGTCAGAGGACAGAGGACAGCTTGCTGGAGTTGGTTCTCTAACATGTTGATCCTGTGGCTCAAACTCAGGCCATCTGGTTTGGCAGCAAGCACTTTTACCTTCTGAGTCTTCTTCAGATGAGTCTAGGTGACAGTCATGGAATATAATCCCCAACAGTGTGCTTGAGATAGTGCCTTGCTGTGTAGCCCAGACTGGTCTTGAGTGTGCAGTCCTGCTTGGCCTCCAGAGTGCTGAGGTAGCCAGCATGCATCACCACACCTGGCAGTGTGCTAGGGTTTTACATTAGCCACTTCCCATCCTCATGGCCATTTCCTCCCTGACTTTTCCAGACTGTTTGGCTCTTGAGAAGCTAGAGCTCACCTGATGGATGTCGAGGCTCCATTTCTGTTTTGATGACTTCAAGAATCTTTCTCATCGGAAAACCAGGGACTTTCCCAGGGGGCTCGAGCTCATCTGGATGGAGAATGTCCACTTGCCAGCCACCTGGCCCTCATCAGCCACTGTTCACTCTAGGGTTTCAGGACAAAGCCATGATACCTTAGGAGAAAGACACACCTAATCTTTCACATGTCCTAGCATCCCACCTCTCCCAGCATCGCCAAAAACTTGTCCTGGGCTGTTTGGTTGACTTGTTAGTAGTTGCTTTGGTTTGATTTGATGGATTGTTCTTAGTCAGTGTGATCAGGCTCCAGATGCAGGGCTGCTGTGACAGTGAGTCCCCTCTTCTGCACAGCAAGGTCCATGCTGGTGAACCTGACAGTGTGGGGTCAGAGAGGTCTTGCTCCTAAATATTTCCCCCCACCCCATGACAGGGTTCACCTGGGGCAGCTGAAGTCACCCCAGAACTTGGAAGCAACAGGTCCCCTGCCCCAAGGACATCAGCCTCCTCTTTAGACTCTAAGCTGTTAGCCACCAAGGGTCTGGGTGACATGTTTGGCTTCTCTGAAAGAGGCCTTGAGAAGAGTTGGTGGTGGTAACATGTCAGCAGACATCTTACTGTGCTTTCCAGCTGGTTGATAATAAAGTGACTTTGGGGCCATTCCTCCATCACTGCTCAGTGACCATGACTTTATTGCTTGTGATGTTGGCTTGCATTTCCTGATCTGTTTGAAGAGAGCTCAGTGCTGAGACTCATGAGGTCCAGAGGCAGCCATGCCATTGGTGGCAAGATGAGGGGCCTTGGTCAGCATTGGAAGACAGCAGCGGCTGATTTGCTATGGGATTTTTCATTTTGGTTTGGTTTTTTGAGACAGGGCTTCTTATGTAGCCCTGGCTATCCTAGAACTCTGTAGACCAGGCTGGCCTAACTCACAGAGATCTGCCTGCCTTTGCCTCCCGAGTACTGGGATTAAAGGCGTGCACCACCACCCTGTTGTTCTAATTCATGTATGTGGTATTCTGCCTGCATGTGTGTCTGCACCATGCACATGCTGTGCCTCCAGAAGGCATCTGATCTGTAACTGGAGTTACAGCCAGTTGTGAGCTGCCATGTGGGTGCTGGGCCTTTTCAGTGACCAGTGCTCTTAACCACTGATCCCTCTCTCTAGCCCTTTTTTTCTGTCTTTAGATAAGGTCTCAGGTACCCCTGGCTGGCTCACACTCATTGTGTGGCTGAGGATGACCTTGAATTTCCTATCCTTCAAGTGCTGAGATGAGATCTCAATTGTGTACCACCACATCAAGTTTTGTTTTATTTTGTCTTTGAGACCATCTTGATGCAGCCTGCTAGTTTAGAACCTCTAATCCCTCTGCCTTCACCTCTTTAGGGCTAGGATCACACGTGTGCACTACCAAACCAAGCCATAATTGTATGGTAACTCAGGATGTTCCTAGGAGCATGGAAAGAGATGCTGGTAATGCATCACTGAACCAGGTCAAGCTGAAGTTCAGGGTTGCACAGCTGCATTGATCGCATCCTTTACACCCTTAGCACTCTGATAAAACACATGTCACTGTTGGTTGATCCCCCAGCCTTGGATAGTCTGGACCCCTTTCTGCCTTCTTCAGTTTAGGACTGTAGTTTCAGGGAAACAAGACTTCTGTTCATTCTGGAGAGGGAAAAATGCTGTCATAGGGTTTGTACTCAGTTGTATTTTCCTCCAGAGAACTATTATCTGGTTGTTAAATTCAGATAAGTGTTTCTAGACACTGTTTGTGTGCAAAATTGAAATCTATCTGGTTTTTGGTTCTGAGCCAGGTGCCTCTACTGATGCCATTGAACCATATCCTCAGCACCACTGATAAGCCTTTTTAGAAAGTTGTTTAGAAACTTCTTGTGCTAGAGGTGTGGTTCAGATAGTAACAATCTAGAACCCTCAGTGAAGGTCTGGGGATGTGACTCTAGGGTAGAGGGCCCTGCCTAGGAATCCCCTAGTGAGGGGCTAGAGTACAGCTCAGGGGTGGAGCCCTTGCCTAGAATCCCCCAGTGAGGGGCTGGGACATGGCCCAGGGTTGTAGCCCTTGTCCAGACCATTTGAGAATGTCTCAAGTCCAGTAGGTTCTGTGATCCTACAGCACTATTAAGCAACCCCTCTCTTTCCCCTGTCATAACCAGACATATATAACTGGAAGTGACAACCCAACTGATCCTGAAGGTCAAACCTGTTACTGGACCTCAGCACTGAGATATGGAGTTTCTTGAACTGGTCCCAGTTAAATTCGTTTTTAGGTTCTGAGCTGCAAGCTATAAAGTGCTGTCTTCTGTCTTGCACACCACTCAGCACAGCCTGAACAAACAAGCTTTTTTAGCCCTTCCTTATAACCCTGACATTCAGGACAGGTTGTCTGCAAGTAGTCTTATCAGCCACCATGACAAACATGCAGTGTGTCTACTACCCTTATCCAAGTGGCCTCTTGAAAGTATGCAACCAACAGAGAACTGCAGAATTCCACTCATCACCTAGGACCCAGGGGTGGCCCTGTGACCTGAGACTTCAGCTGAGGGGTGCCTTAGGTCACTGAGCAGCTCAGAAGGGCTGTGCCCCAGGCTGGCAGTAGCATCTACTCTGAAAGCCCTTCAGGGTTCTAAAGGCCTCATGGTAAACAAGGCCCATCTTAGAGGGTACAATAGTTCCCAAGATAACACCAACAGCAAGAGGGTCTGGAAGAGGCCCTGGTGTGCCAAGAGTGGGGCCCAGGACCTCTCATCCAGGGCATAGCCAACCTGCAGCAGCTGTAACCTCACATTCGGGTTCACCTATGGTCAGAGTCAAGGGACACAGAATTTTCATCTGGACTCTGGTGAGAGCTAAATTTCACTGTCCCAACATGGCCTGAATAAAAGGTATGGTGTCACTATGTTCTGTCCTCGTTTCTAGGAGGACTCCTGCTGCGTGGTCAAGGCCCTGGAGGTGACATCAGCAGTGTGCCTAGAGTACCTCAGACACTGGCAGGCCCTGCCAAAACATATACTTTTCAAAATGCACCAATTCCAGTATGGTGTGTTTTTGTGGGTTTTTTTTTTTTTTTTTTTTTTTTTTTGGTTTTATTAGGGGTGTGGGTTTTTTTTTTGTGTTTGTTTTGTTTTTAATTTGCTTACAGCATGCATGTGGCTGTGTGTGACCAAGCAGAGGCTGCAGTCTGTCCTCTGCAGCGTCCTGCAGACACTCTGAACTAATGGACACTTCCTTGTTCTCCTAACAGCAGTTTCTGTGCCTTTACCAGCTTCCTGACTTTGAGAGTGCAGTGTGCTCTCAGACATACTGCTGTCACGTGCTGTGGCTTTTGGTGGCTTATCTTGTGGGATGCATAGTGAGAGAGAGGTTCTGCCCAGCATTGAGCCTTCTGTTTGCTTTGCTCTAAGTTTCTTTCCACTTACGTATTGATCGCTGAATGAATAACATGGACTTATTAGCAGACCAGCACTCCTGCCTTAGTTACTCTTGGAGGAGGCTCCCTGGAGCACAACTGTTTGCATGTGGTTCATGGAATTTCTTTATGCAGTATTACCTTAGTGTCTTGCAGCTAATCTTTAAAAGATTAATGTTTTTTATGTGTCTAAGTGTTTTGCCTGTATATGTGTCACTGTACCACATGCATGCAGTGCCCATCGTGGCCAGAAGAGGACGCTGAATCCCCTGAAACTGAAGCTACAGATGTAGTGAGCCACCATGTGGGTGCTGGGAATGGAAACTGGGTCCTCTGCTAGAGCAGCCAGTGCTGAGGAGGTGGGTGCCCTACCCACCGGGCTGAAGCCTCAGCTCAGGCAATCTTCACATTTGCTAAGAGTCTTGCTGACCAGGGTCAGTAATGTGGGGAACAGGCTGAAGGCCTTATTTTCTGGTACCTGGGGTGAGATGTCTATAGGTTCCCTGCCCCTGGGTATGATGGAATCACTAGTCAAAGCCAGGCTTTCCTCTGGAATGGCTAGACCTGATTATCTTCTTAGTCAAATTTGTATGAAGTCTTAGGAACCTTACCCTATCCTATTGGAGGAGAGATATGTGTGGTGTCTCTGAAGCGGAGCCATACTTTAAAAAAAAAATAAGACCAAGCTGGGCTGTGGTGGCTCAGCATCAGGAGGCAGAGACAGACAGAGCTCTGTGAGATCAAGGCCAGGCAGGTCTACAGCGTGAGTTCCAGGACAGCCAAGGTTACAGAGAAAAAGAAAAACCCTGTCTTGAAAAACCACAAATAAACAAAATTGCAGCAGAATAGTGGTGGCACATGCTTGGGAGGCAGAGACAGGCAGACATCTGTGAATTTGAGGCCAGTCTGATCACAGGGAAACCCTCTCTCACACAAACAAACAAACAAATAGCAAAACAAAAGAGAAAAAAAACAAAGTCAGGCACGGTGGGATAAGCAAGCACTCAGCACAGAGGAGCAGAGGAGAGCTGACCTGCTGTCACCCAGGCCAGTCAGGGTGACACAGTGACACCTTGTATCAAAACTAAACCTAATAAAAAAAACTGGATACAAAGGTGACAGGTGACATGGGCAGGTTTTCACTCCCAGTGTTTTTCATTATGATGTAGAGGGAAAGCACCAACTGATGTACTCCCCAACTGAGATGCTCACCAGCACCAATATCCTCCTGGGGAGGCCTAGGCTGCTGGCCACTGCTGAACAGCACAGGCCCTGGCTCCTCTTCAGGGTTCCTGTTGTTTGTCTGGCCATAGTGTTAGATAAACCTGTAGCCTCTAGAACAGCCTGTCTCTGTCCCCCAGCATACGTATTTGGTGGTTTTTTTTTTTTTTTTTTTTTTTTTTTGGAGTTAAGGATTATTTAAGTCTGCCTGAAACTGACATTAAACTGACATTAAACAATGACATTTCCTTCGGTTTTGGAAGCTGTCAGGGGTAGATGTCTGCTTCCCCCTTCTCCCTCAACATGGATCTTTGGGACAGTCAGCATGTTCAAGCCCTGACGGTAAAGGAGCAGCAGAGAGCCGGCTTTGAAAGCTGTTAGTATAGCAGTGGCCACAAAAAGAAACAACCCTAGCTGAGGGAAAGAAGTTGAAAAGGTTGGGTAACGACCAGGAACAGGAAGTTTCCCACCTCTGTGGTGACAGAGAGACCCAGGTACCTGGTTCTGAACTAAGATGACTTTGGGCAGACTCAGGGATCTTCCCCTCAGCACTAAGGTAGGTAGCTTTTCCCTACACTTTATCTGCATAGCCACACTATGATCAAGGCTCAGCTGGCACCCTGAGGACTATGAATTCCAGCACAGCAGGGTTGCTGTAGAAGGGGGTTGGTTGAGTGGGACAATGAATGACTTCAGGGTTACCCACAAGACTCTTTGCCTGCAGCTCACTGGGGTCAGGCTTAGAGGCTTATGCCCCTGGTGGCAGCTCATAGAACCCAGCTTCCAGTACTACAACAGAAACTGCAGGCCTGGAGACTTGTCCCCACCTCACCCACCAAGTCTCCACTTCAGCTGGGCTGTAGATGGGTATCCACTCCCACAGCTGCTCCAAAGACCTGCTGGAGTCCTGCCTCTGTTGCTTCCATCAATGACTACAGACTAGCCTTACAAGGGACTTCTGGTGACTGGCAGCTTTATACCACCCAGAACATTTCCTGGAGCTCTAAAAGCTGTCAGCC